ACTGGCCTAGGGGAAAATTTTAATGGGGTTTTAAAGCAATTTTTAAATTAACTTGACCAAATTACTAATATTTGTTTTTACTTATGTTTTTAAATTTGTAGTTTTTGGGGATTAGTGTTTTATCTGGTTGTTAGCCGCCCTGAGTCCGTAAGGAGAAGGGCGGGATATAAATTAAATTAATAAATAAATAAATAAATAATAAATAAAAGAGAGAGAGAGAGAGAGAGAGAGAAAGAAAGAAAGAAAGAGAAAGAAAGAAAGAAAGAAAGAAAGAAAGAAAGAAAGAAAGGAAGGAAGGAAGGAAGGAAGGAAGGAAGGAAGAAATGCTTTCCAAAATGGCTGGATCAGAATTTGCCACTTATAATTTCATTTCTCAGTTATTCAGCAGTAGCACTTAGATTTATATACCGCTTCACAGTTCGCATTTGTCCCCAACCACCTGGGTCCTCATTTTACCGACCTTGGAAGGATGGAAGGCTGAGTCAAGCACGAGCCGGTCGGGATCGAACTCCTGACGGTGGGCAGAGTTTGCCCGCAAATCCTGCATTCTGACCGCTGTGCCACCACGGCTCCTGTAGTTCCCATTTTCCCTCCCGTTGCAGTGGCGCTGAACTACCAATCCGAAGGGAGAATGCTGCAGCTCAACCGGGCCAAGTTTGGCGCCAACGGGAATTGCGGCTACGTCCTGAAGCCCAAGTGTATGTGTCAAGGTAAGAAGGCGAGGCCGTCATCGGCAAGTCTGTCTCGTTCACAGCCTCCCCCCCCCTGCAAACACCGATTGGAGTCCTTAACTTCACATTTAACTGCCCAGTAAGGGAAGGTCTTTTCTTCCTCTGCTTCCTGGTTTGTTTCTAACTCAAAAGAGGAATTTCGTTTGATTTACTGACTCCCCAGGTCTGCCTCTTTTTAAAGCAGTGGATCAAATAGATACCCTTGGCTCAGGAATAAAGCCTCGTCAAAGCCGATTCACATATAATAGTCCTCGGTAGGATGTAAGAGTTGGATGGGACATGTAGTCCAGCCCCCTGCCCCATTGCAAGGATCCAGCACAGGCCAAGAGGCAGGAAAAATACACCTATAAATTAAAAGAGCTGACAAGCTCTTTGCTACCCTGGCTGGGGATATGGGAAGATGTCCCTCCCTCCCTCCCTCCC